AACAGAGCCATCAATATAAAAGTAAAGTTCTGATAGGTTAGCATTATAGTTGGCTATTTGTTGAAGGTTATGTATAAGTAAATAAGATTCAAAAATTACATGAATTGGTTGAATAGGAATAGTAATATTTGGAAGATCTAAAATTTGAATAAGATGCCAAATTGCAATAGAGTATATAAGATTAAAATAATTAGCATTAAAGTTAAGAGTTTTGTTATAAGTATTAACTCAACCCAAAAATTGAGTTAAGAGATTAGTAGGAATAACAATTATACATTTGTTAACAATTGTTTGAAAATTAAAAGAGTAGTCAGAGCATATATAAGATTGAATAGGTAGAAGAGAATAAAGTTAAATAAATTGTAGTTCAATATTACATTGCTAATAGATAATAAGAATGAATCCAAATACTAAAGGTTGCCTTCTGGCTTTTCTAGCAATAATTTGGTTATTAAGTACAATAATAAGCCATAGTTTTTTGTATAATAAAAAGTGTTTAGTTGTATAACTGTAGTAATTAGTATCAGGTAGGTGTAAATATTGATAAAGTGTATGATTGTAAGAATGGCTTGTAACTTGATATTCTAAATAAGTAAACCAAAGTAACTGTTTGTCTTTTGAAATCTTGTATATATGAGGAGAGATGTGTTTTCAGTCTAATAAGTATAAATTATCAAATATAGTAAGTTGATCAAGATATAGAATACTATAATGTTTAAGTTGTTTTTTAAAGATTAAATATTTTGGATGTAAGGAGAATAGAGATTCTAGTGAGATAGAATTTTGTTAAATAGTATATGGAATATTGTAAGTTGGATTAGCAATAAATATAATACCAAGATGTTTAAAAAGTTAAATTATTATAAAATTAGTAATATGTTTGTTTGATCTATAAATAATAGAATTGTTATATATTAAGATGCTAATAGGTGACCAAAGATTATTTTAAAGTTGTTGGAGCTAAATGTAAGTACTAATACCAAGAAAGTTAGGAGAGTTAAATCTTTTGGTATAGTTTATTATATAGTGTTAAAGTTGAATATATTATATGTTTCAAATATTATATAATTAAGGATGGAATATTGTGCTAATAGAAATTGTATGACTAAGTTTAGTCTTGTTTTTGACAAGTCCAATATGGTTGGTAAGAATTTTATTATATATATTCTGACTAAGAACAATGTTATAAATATGGTATTCAATTGTAAAAATGATAACTATATTAATAATGTATTATGCATGTGTGTTAATAATTTTTTTAATGCTTGCAATTTTAACAAGATGTGATAATTCAACTATAATAAGCTTAGTTTGTTTTGCTTATTTGTTGTTAAATATAAACCAGCATTTTAAAAATTTAAATAGTTCATTTAGAGAGTAAAGATTAAGTAAATGACTGTTATAAGTAATAGGACTATAGTTAGTTAAAGAGTTGTTGGTTGTAAGTATTAATTTAATAAGGTTAATTTGAATATTGGTCATGTTATAAAAAGATTTTGCTATTAATAAGATTTGTAAGAGTTTTTGCTATAAAAAAGCAATCTATAAAGTATTATCTATATAGGCAAAAACAGAGCAGTAAGATTTAAGTTTATTAAATATTTGATTTTTAAGATTAGTTGGCTAGGAGACTTTAGTGTTGTATCCTACTTTACAACTCTTATATAAAGATTAAAACTTATTTACTTAATATATTTTTTTTAAAAATTAAATATAAAAAATACTGATAAAAATTTGCAACTAATTATATATAAAAATGATCAACATTGTACTCTACCCTTAATCTATTTTAATTTTCTAAATAAAAATATTTAGTATAATTAAATTTTAATTTCTTTTTTTTTTTGTCTTTATTGTAATTTAATTATAGTTATATAACTTGTACAAGGTAAGTATGCAACTAGTCACACATATAGCTTTTAGTTATCTATTCAAGTAATTTACCTACAAGTTTTATATTAGCTATCATATCTGTAATCTGCTAGAAGATTATTTAATTAAACATTTTGATCTTTATATTACACTTAACAAATAATTATTTAGATTTTAGTACCTACTTTATAGCATATCTTTAGTACTTATAGTATATTTCTGTTTTTGATATTAAATTCTCAATTCAGATAGCCTAAAAAAACTGTAATCTGTCTCTAATACAATATACTAAGATTATGATATCTGATATTCTTTTTCTTTGGTTTAAAACTTTTAACAGTCTGGTTGATAATACTTTTTATTTAAAGTTCTTGTTTACCTGATTTTTTTATATTAGTATCTGTTTTCTAGATCTAGTCTTTATAATAGTACTATCAAAAATCTGTATTATTTTTCTACTTAGATCTTTTTAAGTAGTTTTCAGCTTTCTAGTTATACAAATTTACATAATTATAAAAACTTATTTTAAGTTTGTACTATCTATTACTGATTTGCATTCTTCTGTATAGCTAATTATATAGATGTTTTATAATCTGCTAGTCATACTAATATAATTATAGTTACAAGTATCTTATTTTAACTAATTAACAAAATGTGTTGTCATAATATTATCTATATATTACATAGATGATTATACAAATTTTTGTTATCAATAAGTTTTGAACTTATAACCTATTATATAGAAGTTTAACAACTTATTTATTTCACTAAGTTATTACACTTTTTTAAATTTTAATTTCTAAATTATTTGCATAATATTAATATATATAATCTAGGTTTTTTTTAAAAAAAATAATTTATTTGTACCTGTAAAGTATAGTATATTCATATAACACAATTATCAATCATATGCATTAGAGAATAAATTGTAAAAATTGTAAATAAACAAATAATATTAGAGACAAAAATATATAAATATTAAGAATAAAGATAACATAATCTTAAAGGGTGTGGCGACTTAGTACAGTGAATAAGTTGTCAACCCTCCAAGTGGTAAATTGGGAGTTCAAAACCTACTGACAACAAAAATTTGAAAAACCACCTATGTTACATCAGTGTATACAGGCATCTGTGCAATGTTGGAGTTACACAGAGGAATGCAAACTGGCATTGGATAGTGCAAACACAAGATAAGTCCTTGAAACTGGTAATATGGCAACAGCTATCTATCGATCAGTTGGGATCAGTACCTGTAACACAGTCACACCAGATAACTGGCAGGTCATGAGGCATCTGTGGCCATGTAAATCTGTGAACTGGGATAACTGAAGCCTACTTGGGAAGACCTGAGTAGAGAGGTAACACAGATCTTTGACAGTATTACTATAAAAGCTAGACCTAGAAAATAGATATCAATGTAGAAGAAATTGGACAGACAAGAACCTTGAGTGAGAGGTACCACCAACCAGGCTGCCAGAAGTCTTGAACCAGAGGAAAAGGACCTTGAGGGGCAGACCCTGAGGTACCAGAGACAGGTTACAGTCCTATCGGGCTATCTGAATTGGAAGTCTGAGATCAGAAACAGAAGTATACTAAAATACTAGGGATATGCTATGAAGTCAGTACTGGGGTCTGGGTGAACTCTGCAAGGACGAGCCCTGTTAGTAAAGATTAAATATGGGTAGTTAGTTAGCAGAGGGGCCCCCTGGAGCCCTATAGTCAGGTGACATACTCTGAAATGTGTAATGGCTTGACAGACTTATAGACAGGAAGGTCAAGGTTAGGTTAGATAGCATCTAATTAGGTGTACAGGAGCTTGTGCTGCTATCTGCTAGTATAGTATAGGGGTAACCTTGTACAAGTTATATAATCATAATTGAATTTACAATAAAGGCAGTAGTCATTATAACTAAAAGGCCTTAGCAAAAGCAAAAAAAAAAAAAGATAACATAGTCTTTCTTTCTTGAAAATAGTGCACTTAAAAATTGTAATTAAAAGATACAATACATATCTTTTTATTCTGAAACTTTAATCAAATATTATTTTATTGTTTGAAAAGACATAGTAGTGTTAGTTACTAATTGATCTTATGATTTTTCACTTTTGGCATAGTGACAATATTTAGTCTCATAATTTTTATATAATTTTTTATAAAGATATATCTAACAAGAAGTTATCTTATTTGAAAACATAATACATTATTATTTTTGAACTAATGCTTTTTGTTTATGAATTTCTTTTTGAAAAATTAGCCAAACATCTTGAAACTCATTTAATTAAAACAAAAGCTCATTCTCATTAATTGGTCTTAGATTTTATCAATATTGATATAGTGATAGTATTTAGTCTTATGATTTTTATTTTTGAACTTATACTTATTGCTTATGAATTTCTTTTAGCTGAATTAACCAAATATCTTGAAACTCATTTAATTAAAACAAAAGCTCATTCTCTTGTGATTTTTTTTACCTTTGGCATAGTAACAGTATTTGTCTTGATTTTTTAGTAATTTCAGCTCAAAAATTATAATGCATTCTTTATTTTTTGAATTTACACTTATTGCTTATGAATTTCTTTAATAAATTAATTTAAAACTTATTTAATTAAAATAAAAGCTCATTATTATTAATTGGTCTTATAGATTTTTTATGTTTGGCATAGTGATGGCATTTAATCTTATAATTTTTTGTAATTTGAGTTACTACTCAAAAATCATAATGCACTATTTATTTTTGAACTTATGCTTATTACTTTTAATGAATTAGCAAAACATCTTAAAACTCATTTAATTAAAATAAAAGCTTATTTTCATTAATTGTTCTTAAATTTGGCATAGTAACAGTATTTAGTCTCATAATTTTTCTGTAATTTGAGTTATTTTACTTAAAAATCATAATGCATTATTTATTTTTAAACTTATGCTTATTGATTATAAATTTCTTTTTAATAAATTAATCAAACATCTTGAAACTTATTTAATTAAATGAAAGCTCATTCTCATTAATAGTATCTAATTTTTTCACTTTTGGTATAGTAACAGTATTTAGTCTTATGATTTTTTTTGTCTTGTTTGATTTCTAAAATTGGTTTATTTAAAGATTATTTTCTTTAAAATTACAGTTTTAAAAATGGATTATAAGAATAACTCTGAATATTTTGAAAAGAGGTTATTAAATATTGCAGTTCTGTAAGTAATATATATTTCTTTTATTTTTATCTTATATACTATGTTTGTCTTTTTGTTATTAGCAACCTTCTTAACAAAGTGATCAGCATTTAGCTAAAGCATTAGACACTCCAATAGTTAAACAAATGTTTGGTACTTGGAAAAGAATTGGATTGATTTATTTCTCTCTATATGAAATTACAGAATTTTGTTAGTGTTATTTATAGCTCAGAATATATTAATAGTATTTGTTAAAGTTATAGATATGTATATAAACACCAGAGTTATAATATTGTTAAAAACAAAATAATATTGTTAAAAATTAGTGACAAACATGAAACAAGTGTACCAGGTACTGTTGGCAGGTTCATGCTATTTTTTTAAGAAAACTGGCATATTAAGTATCAGCTCTGTTTATTTAGTTCATAATAATCATTTAATAGAAAATAAAACTAATAAGTTTGCTTCAAAATATAAAGCATTTTCTGAAAATATGTTAAAGGACATTAAATTCTAGACTAAAACTGTTAATTTAAATATAAAAACTCAATATCAAATGTTAATGAAAAAGTATTTTAATAACTTTTTTTTGTTTTAAGATATTTTGAATACTATACAAAATTTTAAATGACAAAATTATATTGAATTCAAGACAGCTGTTTTACTTAATTAACTTCTTGAATATAAAGCTGAAGATGCTAGATAGATTGTTAATTGGAAGGTTGATTCTAGCAATAATTCTTATACTTCTTTTTATTGGATATTATTTAATTGGCATAATTTGTATATACAATACTGAGATATTATTCAATATAGGGTTTAGCAATCTAGTGAAGTGGATAGGTTGTTAACCTTCAAGTGGCAGATCTAGAGTTTAAATCCCAGTGATGGCAAAAATTTGCAATTCTTTTCATATTATGATTAATTGTCTTTCATGATTAGTTGGAATAAAACACTTGTAACCCATGTTATTTCAGTATGACTGGAAGGTTTAGGCATTGTGCAACATTGTATGAAGAAACACAAACTGGTACTAAGCAGTGTGAACCCAAGATAAGTTCTTAGGTTGTGTAAATCATAGAAACCAGGTAGAAAAACAAAAGCCTACTTGGAAGATCTAAGTAAAGAGGTAATATGAACCTTCGATAGTACTACTGTAAAGACTAGATCTATAAAATAAAGCTAGAACTTGTGAAACTAGGCAAAAAGCTGGCCTTTGAGAAGGACTAAATTAAACCAACCAGACTGCTAAAATCCATTTTGAAAAAAAAGGTTACATGCTAGCAAACATGTAAACCAGAGGTATATAGTTACAATCTGCCTTTTCAGGCTATCTGGTTTGGAAGCTTGATGGAACTTAAATTAAATACCAAAGTAGTAGAGATATGTTGTGAAGTTAGTATCAAGATTGAGGTAAACTCTACAAGGGCATAGCAGTTTAATAGTACATTCTGATTACTAGCATTGGTTTTGATCATAGCAATACTGAGTTAGCTATAAGAATAGAATACAAAAGATTCTGAAAGATTTAGTACAAGGTCAAAGGTTTTTTATATGAGTGAACTGCTTTAAAGACTTAGTGGTTATAGTATATTTTTATCAGCATCAGTCAGAATTATTGGTAGACAAAAGTAGATAGATGGATATAGAAACTAGAGTAGTTAAATAGAGAATCTACAGGCAGGTTTTAGGTATGGCAACTAGTATAGAACCTTTGAGCAGACTACTTAAATTAAACAATAACTAAAGTTATACAAGAGGCTAATTGTACATTTTTTTTATAGTTGCCTTTTGTGATTGTAATGCAACTTTTAGCCAAATATACTATCAATAAAATCCTAAGTTACAAGTACTCATCTTAATATTTAAAAAAAAAAAAAAATTTATTTAATATAACAACATCTATTCAATAAATTAGTTTAAGATAATACTAGGATTTTTTGTAGCAATAGATAATAATAATCATTTCTGATTAGTAAAGCAAGTTCTTATGAATAATGAAATAGCTAAAAGTTCTAAGTAGGTTTTACAAACTCTAGTTATGAATACTGGCACTGTCCTTTTAACAATCATAACTAATAATGATCTTGCAATAAATGCAAGAATTACTAATATCTTATCTAACACCTACTATATTTATTGCATATATTATATTGACCAAAACTTAATAAAAAATCTAAAAGGTAACTTGGTGAAAGATATAATAAGTTTTCTTAAAATTGATATTGAATGCATAATGCTCTTTTGTATTAGCAATTTGATTTTTTATAAAATGAACTTTTGATAAAATTTTTTGATGCAGTTTTGTATCTTGATCATATTCTTTTTGGTGAAAAAGAATATTGGACTCTTTGTTATACTTCTAGAATTTTTACTGCTGGCATGCAGTTAACACAGTGAGTTGAAAGTCAAAATGGTATTATAAAAAATTTGATTAATAGTAGTACATCTTTAATCAACCTTGTGAAATATATTAATAAACAAATTGATCATGCATCAATATTCATTCAATATAAAAATTAGATTCATTCTACTATAGAGCTTACACTTATTCATGCCAGTTCTGAATTTTTATTTGACATTGACAAATAAATTACTGCATACCTAACACCAACTTTATTATTAATGTAATAATAAGAAATTGCCCAAGCTATATAGTATATATCTTAATATATTAATAGTTTTCAGAATTTAGAATTACAACAATTAGATTTAACTAGACAATTTGAAATAACTAAACAAATAGATTCAATTAAGGTTAATACTTTTATTAAAGATTTTATAAATGCACTTGCAATTTTAGCTAAAGAACTAATATTATCATCAGAAAATGAATTTGTTCTTGAAATTTGAGAGGTCACTTGACACAAAAATAAAGCAAACAATTACATTATATTGTTCAAAACAATTTACACTTGTGCACATGTCTTGGTTTAATCCAAAATGGTTTGTTTGTAGACACTTTTTACAAGTTATGACTGTGTCTAGTTATACTGCATTTCACATAATGCTTATATTAAAGCAATGATATAATAATGAAAAGCAACTTAAATCAGAATTGCAAATATAACAACAACTTTTTATTATTGATTTTAATAATAACAATGTGAATGAAAAAAATTTTAAACAATTTTTTTCTTATATATTTTTTTGTTTACTAGGTATTTCTTTTAGCAATATTCATAAACAAGTTAATTATTACAAAACATATGTAATGATTAATGGATTGTCTAAAAAGACAATTCAAACTAAGATAAATGCTAACTTTAATGCTATACAAAAACTAGAAAATTTTATAAATAATTTTATTACTAAGTACATACCAAAAAAAAAGAAATACCAATTCATAAAAAGAATAAGAGACAATATAAATATAAAATAAGACTAGTTTAAGTTATAGTTTCAGTAATGAAGAAGGTTTTAATGCAGTTAAAAACCTAATTGTTTGCTTAAAAAAAGGCATTCTAAGAAAAAAGCAACTTAAAGAATTTCATAAATTTAAAAGCAAAAATAAAAAAACTAAAGAACATTTAGAAATACCAAAAGGTAAAAAACCAACTTAATGTTAACAATGTCAAAATACTGAATATAATAAAGCTGATTGTGAAGCATGACATCAATAGCAAAGTATTCTATATTTATATTAAATAGCAGGCAATGTTTTTTTCTTTTATATAATAATAAAAAACTTTAAGTACTAGCTAGAGCTTCAATTGCAGATTTAAATATCTAATTAATTTAATGTAAACATAAAGTAATTTATGTATATGCAAAAAAGTTTGCTATTGATTATGCTTAAAGAGTTATATAGTTTACTAAAATTTTATCAGAAAACTTTTTTGTTAGTGCACAAAAGTAATTTTATATGAATTAAGTTATAAGTAATTTTTTTATATATTATATTTACAGATATAGATAGTAATGCTAAAAATGAAAACAAGTTAATTAGATTATAATAATCCTCATACTTATTGAGATACAGAGAAATATAATATTGTTATATTTAATATAGTTACACATAAAGCATAACAGTTTTTATATAAAGTGATGCAATGGTTTTGTATTAAAAGTTATATTTTTAATTGGCATTCTTAGTTACTTTAAGATTTTAATTTAGTATTTTAAAGCCAGATATAGTTAAGGTTACTTTTTTAACTCAATTATAATAAGCATATTATATAAATAATTTTTTAGTATATAGATCAAGATATTAAATGCATCTGAACCTATTATTAAAATAATAGCTATTATACGAAATTTGTTTAATTTATTACATAATATAATTATAGCCAAGTAACAAAAATTATTTATTTAGATTAGGATTAAGATAAGTGTCTATATGCCACATACTGTACTATATATACTGTATGCTAAAATTTTGGCAATTATTCTATAAGTTATAAAGTTTAGACTATAACATTTATAAGTTCCTAAATATTCTGAAATGATTACAGAATATTTTGTAAAAAAATCCTACTATATATACTATATGTACTGTATATACTGAATACTAAAAAATCCAAGTATAATATATATAACATATCATTAGTTTAGGGTAAGTATTAATTAAATTTAGATAATTATATTGTAAATTGTTTATATTTACCTAATTGTGTTATGTTATATCAAATTATGATTTGTTATTGGCTAATTGTTTTATTTAAATTACATGATTGGATATATGTACCTTTAGATACATATAAATAAATTCTTTTTTTATTAATTAATAAAAAAATAAAAAAGTTTTATTAGTAATATATATTAATTTTAAATAAAATTTTAACATGCTATATATAATTATATAAAAATGATCTATATGCTTTTTACTCTTAATAACATAGCAGCAGTTTAAAAGTTATCAAAAGCAATCAAATAAAGATAAAAAAGCTAAATAGTTTAAAATAATAAAAACAAAAGTACTTAGCAAATCAAAAAGCAGAAAGGCTAAAGAATTCTTTAAGACAAATGAAAATAATATACAAGCAATTAAAATTAAATAGAAAAGCTTATTAAAAGATAGAAAAAGAAGAAAATAGATAATATATAATGCAAAAAATAATAGACAAATAGAAAAAGTAATTAGAAAGAAAAAGAAAAAGTTACTAATAGAATATTGGCAAATACAAAGTATAGAAAACAATTTAGTATCTGAAATCAGCAAATGCAACAGATATACAAGTAAAAAAGAAATAGTAAAAGATACTTATCAATATTGAATAAGAATTAATAACAAGATAAAAGTAATTTAAATGTACTAATAGTAAAAAGCAACAATATGATCAAAGATAGCAATAGACCAATTGACAGAATATATAAGAACAGAAAAATAAAAAAAAAATGAACAGAAGTTAACAAAACTCAAAATGTTAAAGAATCTAGAAATAGAAGTAGCTAAAAAGCAAAAACTAAAAAAGAATATTATACAAAAAATAGTAAAAACTCTGAAGAAGAATATATTAAGAAACAAGAACAAATATATAATATATACTAATAGTGCTGCAAGTAAATAGAAGAAAG